CATGGCCAATTCTTGACTGTCATGTGCAATTTTGAAGAGAAAAAACAGAAAATTGAAATGGCTGGATTGGGCTCCAATTGGACTCAAAGAGCCCATAGACACACTCTATATAAGTTTTGTGATGATTTCAGAATCATTTTGGTGCAGTTTTCGTGGCTGAAGCAGAGATAGCAAGTTCATTTTCAAGCAAGCAAGTGCAGATCGGGTTTTGAGTTTCAAGCCAATTCAGATCAAATTGAAGGTTTCAACATCTTTCTCTTGCATCCTTGAGTGATTCTGGAGAGTTTTGAAGGCTGAATCGTGCTCTAACTACATCTGTGCATAGATCTACACCAGGTATGCAACCTTCAAATTTCTCACAATTCTAGGGAGATGTAGTTCATGTCGTGCATGTGGTTAGGATCTAATAGAGACTTAGATCGTTTCTGGATCAAAATTGAAGCAATTGGAGACAATTTAGGTTGAAGTGCAATTTCTGTTTGGACATGATTTAGCTTGATCTTAAGGTTTCAATGTGATATGGATAGATCAGGTTAATCTAGGAAGCATGAGGATCATTTTTATGGTTTTAGATTTTGATTTGGTGATGATTAATTTGGATGTGATTTCTGAAACTTGGATCGTGTTTTAAAATCTAGCCTGATCTAGAGAATTTGGATAGGATATCTGAGATCCTTGTGAGATTCTGAGCGTTTTGATGTAATGTTTGATGTTACTTGGCTACCTGAGACCACCTGCTCACCGGAGAAGACGACCGGAGGTCTTCTCCGGCCACCTGAACAGTGCTCCCTCCATCTGAGGAGTTGAACGAGGACGATGATGCACTACCATTGGATTAGTTTATTGAGAAGACTTGGTAGGATCATCTGATGGTCACGATTTGAATTGAGGATTTGGCTCTAAACCAAAAACACAGCGTTTCATTAATCCCAGTCAGCGTGTGACTGGGATGCTTGCGTGGACGCGCTCACTGACCTTAGATCTGTATACCTTGTCAATTCATCCAACGCTCATGATATTTTCTTAGTTTTTAATTTGTTTTGTTTCATTTTTGTATTATTTTAAATGCATATTGATTCCAAAAATCATAATAATTTCATCTTTAATCTGAAAAAAATTTTAAAAATATGTCCATGTTCATGATGAAATTTGTGATTTTCTGGGATCAATAAATTGCATTTTGATGCATTTTTCAATTTAATTTGCATTTTTCTCTTTTATGTTATTTCTTTAATTTTGCATATTTGCCTATCTGCCTTGTTGATTTTGATTTGAGCATTTGGTTTGGTTTCTTAATTTGATTTTTGAGTATGTTGTAGGTTAGATGTGCATGCTCCCTTAGGATTTTTATTAGATTTTTTTAACAATTGTAGGTTCTGTTTTAGGTGAGATGTTTGGAGCCTTCCCAACTTATGGTTTATCTTGACACAATTCAACTTAGGATTTATTTAGTGGACCTAGAAGTTGATTTAGGCTTTGATATTTGAACCCTAGAATGTTAAAACATGCATGTTCCATTATGAAATTTATTAGATTTTTACAACTTAGTTTTCTATTTTAGATAGAATTTGCAAGTATGTGTTGCTTTTAGTGTTCCTTCTTTGGTGCCTTGCCTTCTTTGATCTGGTTGGTGGATTTGGAGCTTGAAGAGCTTGGTTTCCTTTTTGGAGGAGGATTTGGACTTCTTGTAGTTGTTGTGGATTGGCTTGTGGAGCTTAATTTGGAGTTTTCTTTCTCTTTTGGGAGCTTTTTAGAAGCTTATAGGATTAGGGGTTTTAAGAAGAGCTATTAGAACTAGTTCTTTTATTTTCCTCAAAAATAGAATGCATTGTTTGCTTCTATCCTCATCCCATGATGCAAAGTCCTCTTAAGGAAGCTCCATCTCTCCTTTGGATGGATGAGTGGCATGCCTTAATGAGTAGAACTTTTGAGGATGCACTTTCTTTCATGTTGGTTCCTGATGAATTCCTTTGGTTTTCATCAGGTTCCCTAGCATTGTAACTTGATCTCAATGATGATTTCTTTTCTAGTGGAGCTTGCTAGAGTTTGAAGATGAAGAACTGAAGGTGAAGATAGGAGCTAGCTTGAAGATGAAGACTCTTTGTTGTCAATTCAACTTTGCTGACCAGAGCTACTGTTAAAGGATGAAGTTGCTGTCTGTAGAAGATTGTTGTTGCTGCTTGGGCTGCTTCCTCTGTTTTTATTTTGTTGTATTGTCTATTTGCTTGTGTTGTTTACCTTTAGGTTTGAGGTGGAGCTTGTCTCCCCTTACCTGTTGTTTTCTTAGGTTTGAGGTTGAGCCGGACTCCCTTGCCTCGCTTGTACTGTTGCATAGCATGCATTTTACTGTTTACTGTTTACTGCTTGCTTTCTTTTGCTGCTTTCCCCTAGGATCTCTGATTTCCTCTGTGCAAGAGGGAATTATGATAGACATTAGGTTTTTTTTAAACCATGCATGATAACTGTAAGTAGATCCCCTTTCAACCGTAGTTTTAGGGCGTCTTTTTCTTCTCATCTCAAAACAATTCAAAAATACAGTAATAAGGTTAATTGAAGTCGTACATTATGAGCCTTAAGCTATCTGGGAAAAGGTTTGTGGAGGGTCTCTCTCCAGTAATCTGGATGTTTAGTGTGGTACCCTTTGGGTGACATACAAGGCATTCACTCCTGGGTCATAGTCTCTAGTGCGATGGAGATTGCGAACATCCTAAAAAACAGTTCTTTCGTAAAAGATTCAAACAAACATTCAAACTCTGTTTTTTGTCCTCTTGGACCCTTAATCTAGAAAACCCTTTCTTAAGGAGATAAAAAACTGTCAGACAAACTTGTGTCTTCCATAGCCCGAACTACGTTTACTCTGATCTTTCATGCCGTATGAAAGTATGTAGGCACGAGATACGACATCTCGGCGAGCAACCTTCCCCCACAACCCATAGTTAGGCGAACTACGTTGACTCTGATTTCTCGTTCCAGACGGGAATACGTAGGCATAAAGTGCGATACTTTGCCGAGTCATTTTCTTTTCTTTTTAGACCAGACCTTTAGAGTAGATAGATAAACACACCCTTAGATAGAAAACAAGTGTGTATCCCATCGAGTACGACGGACGTGAGGGGTGCTAATACCTTCCCCTTGCGTAACCGACTCCCGAATCCAGGATTTGGTTGCGATGATTTTCCATGTATCTGTTGCTTTCTTTCTACACTTGTGACCTAATCCAAGAGAAGGGATTGTATGTTGACTTAATGTCATTGTGCATGTCCATTGTGTGTTTGTTGTTTTGCCTTGCCTGTCTTTGTATTTCTTGCCCAACTTTTCACCTTTAGCAAATAATTTTTAGTCAAAACACAAATATTTCAAGAGATTACTGTAGAGTACTGCAGATGTTTAAGGTGCTAGTACATTTTCTTAGTATAACCAACCCACGTACCTTTGATCTCTCTTTACTTAGCTTTAGGCCTTACTTTTTCCTTTGCATGTTTAGTTAGGATTTTTGTTCGATCTTTTCTCCTTTCCCTTGGAAAAATAAAAGTTCGGTGGTGATATCTTACTTTTGCGAGTCAAGCTAATCCAATAGCTTTGGTCTCCGATTCTAACAGCGACAGAAAAATGACGACTTCACTGGGGATCATTGTTCAGTGGGTTGAGCCTAACTTGTTCTATTTGTGTTGTTATTATTGTTTGCTCTGTTGCTTGGGCTTTCTGTTTTTCAGGTTGATCTTTGTGTGGTGAGATAAGTCATATATCCAGACTTGAGAGCTCTTATGATTAGGAGAGTGGTATAGTCAAGTTGGCTTTGGTGGAGTAATCCCGAACAAGCTGACTTGAGAATCCCCCACTTAGTGGGGGGCCCTTTGAGGGTAGTACTTGTTGAACGAGTAATCGTGAAAACATTGTTATTTTCAACTTAGGAGCCCGAGAAGCTGAGAACCTTAGTATCCCATTTACCCCACTTGGCCTTTTACAATGTAGTGCGATGGCTATGAAGGTGTAACCCTGAATTAGTTAGATACCCAATGCTACACTCAGACGATGTTCTCTCGAGAATATTACTGATTCTCAAGTAATTAGTGTGCTAGTAATATCTGAAAAGGATTGAAGACTCTTAAAACTTTGTTAGAACCCGTTGTGCAGGTGTTTTACCCCTAGTACACGCCCTGTGGTTAATTCTTCACCCAAACTCTATGGTTGTGATCCTGAACCTATGATCCTTTTACATGTGGTTTGCATCGTATTGCATGACATTAGGTGTGTCTGAAGATATATCTCTGAAATCTAAGGTCATTTAAATATTTTTGTGTGATAGCTAAGAAACATAAATGATGGATTAAGAAATTCCCTAATATATTAAGTCGAGCTCACTTATTCTCATCTAGATTGGGTCTAGGAAGTAGAAGAAGTCAAATTTAAATTCCAACAAGAATCTACATTTAATTTCTAATACCTCTTGACTCGATTACTTTTCTCTAGATGAATTGTAATTGCTTTTTTGAGAAAAAGAAAAGCATGTGAATATATTTAAAAAATTATAATTTTTTTAATCAAAAATTCAAGATAAGATTAGTTTTTTTTGTACAATGATCACATTAATTCTTTATAACATATAATTAATGTAATCTATAATTTTATTTTAGAAGCTAGTTAAAATTTGTTTATTTTATGAATCAAACAATCCAATTTCTTACAATTTTATGAACTATGTTATGAATTTTATCTCCCTAAATAAATAAAAATTATGAAAATAAACGTGCTTGAAAGTTAGACCATAACCATCACATTAAATTTGAACGGGGGAGTTGAGTCTAAAGTCCACTAATTTTGCGAACCAACATATTTTGCATTGTTAGCGTTCCTTAGTAGTAAATCAATGAATGATGTCACAATCACATGAAGGCTACATTCCTCCTTCCACAGATGGCTGATTCTTTACGTTTCTCCCTATCTTCTTGATCTTAGCCAATAAATAAGAAACAAATTATCTCTTCTATTCACAAATAACAATGGCAACAATTTTCTGGCTTCTTACTTTACTAAGCCTCAGCTGCCTGCTAGGATTCAATGCCCAAGCACCAGCAACTGCACCGTCAAAGTTGCCACCTACAACCCCAACAGCAACACCACCTGTCATTACACAACCACCTACTGTGGTGGCATCTCCCCCCATCTCAACCCAACCACCTGCAAATGTAGCACCCAAATCTGCTCAAGTGACATCACCAGCTCCAAAGGTTTCACCACCATCAAGTCCAATAGTCCCTCCACTCCAACCACCAAAAACTTCACCTGTCTCAACTCCCACGTTGCCACCACCATTACCACCACCAACAACATTACCACCACAAAATATATCGCCATTACCAGTTCAAACACCACCTGCCCCCGCACCAGTAAAGGCAACACCAACGCCAGCACCTGCACCCATAAAGCAAGCCCCAGCTCCTACACCGATTACTTCCCCGCCATTACCGGCACCAACACCTGCAGTAAATGCCCCTGCACCAGCACCTGAGTCCCCCAAGCACAAGAAAGGAAGACACAAACACAAGCACAGGAGACATCATGCACCAGCGCCAGCACCAACAATTATTCACAAGAGTCCCCCTGCACCACCAACTGATACTAAAGCAGATGACGACACAACACCGGCACCAGCACCTAGTCTTAATTTGGTAATATCTCGAACCATTATAATATCAAATTACAATTATATAATTATATAAACTAGTGATATAGCTAGTTAGATTAAATATAAGCCATATCTTTTACCAACACATATCATCAACATCACATTGTTCTGATCACATCCTATGTTTTTTACTTCACAGAATGGCGCACCATCAAACCATCATCAAGGGAGAAATATATGGGCAACAGCTGGATTTGCTATCACTGTTTTTCTAGCAATAACTGTCTACAGCAGCTAGCAGGCACATTCTACTCTGGATTCATTCTAAGCAGTTACTTGGTTTGCGGAATTTAAAACCATTTCAGGTGTAGAGATCTGAATAATGAGTGTCAATACTTACTATTCTTTCTTTTTATTTGTCACAGATCTTTGCTCGGGGACATTGATGAATATGAATTTTTGAATTATCAAAATAATCAGAAAATGTCAAATAAAAATGTCTAGTTATGAACCACACATCAAATTTGATCAACTACTGAGTCTGTGTTCATTTTCTCCCGAAAATCATACTCCGTGATTAGTCCAAGATTGTCAACTAATTTATGATGCCGTTGACAGCCTGCACACTAATGAGAGGAGTTTCTAATTACTTACAACAGAATAAGTGATATAATAACAGCAATTCTGCATATATGTTTTTAATGAACAATGGAATGAATAAGGTATCTAAAAAGCACTTAGCTATTGAACTGGCTGCAATATAAACGACACAAATACACTTTCATACTTCAAAAATTCAGTCATTCCATGCATTATTGAACTTCAGGAGAAAATGAGAAAACAAAATGAAAATTACTGAATAGAAAACTGTTAGTAATATATTAAGTACAACAGCATAAGCAATGTTATATCTAGCCAGTTAAAGTAAATGATGGAAATTTCGCTTTTAATGCGGTCTGCCCCTACCTAACTGCGGCAATTGGGATCACTAAATTGCAGTCTCTAACACTTTCAACATGTTGGGTGTGACCGGGTGGATTTAATCTCACATTACGGATAGATATTGCTTGTGGTGTTTATAAAGTTTGGGCAACTTTCACTTTACAAGCCGATTTTGTAAGATTGTGTTAGACCTAACCCAAATTTTAAGATGGAGCTCATGATCTTGGGGAATCTTGCTTCCACTTAAACCCTAGGCGTTGTTATAGCAGTTTATTTTTGTTTTTCCGCCTTCATTGCAGTTTCATTTGTTTGTCCGCCTACATTGTGGTTCCTTTTTGTTTTTTGTGTTGCTTGCCTTCATTGTGGCATCTTTGAGATCCAAAACACTATTCAGCAAAAAAAACATTGTTCATACTGGTGACACTATTTTTTCCAACGACACTGTTCACATGTCAATACAATTTATCTGATTTTTTTATGCAAAAAAATAAAACAGAAGCTTGGGATTCTCCTTACTATTGTTTGTTGGTCCTATTTTATTTTATTGAGTAAGATAGAGTAGCATGACATCAATCAATATATTAATGGTTCAACTAGAGAGATTAATGGTCCAACTCAAGATGAAGTAGAAAGATTGAGATCAGTCCTTAGTAAATTAGAGAAACCAACATGCATTTTCACATCCCTTTGGTAATTCTCAATTTTTCTTTTTTAATTTAATGCTTCAGATAGACTCTATATCCGATATTGGATCCTTGATTTTGGAGCCACTATCGACATGACACCCTTACCCACCTACTTTTTCATTTATTCACCTTTCCTTGCAACAAAAAAATATCCACAACATATGGTACCCTTATAACTATAACAAGTCAAGGAGATGTTCAAACAAGCTCGTCAATAATCTTGTGAAATGTACGTGTTATGTTTAGAAGGAGAAATAAATACAAGTAGAAGTGAGTAAAAACATAGAGGTTGGTGAGAGGAATGAAGAAGTAATGTATTCCTGAACAAAAATGGCACCCCTTTCATAAGCTAATCGGTTAACAAGCCTCTTAGTTCTTTCACCGCACAAGTCACATGTAAATTGTACGAGCAAACTTCTTCTAGGAAGATTTAAGTCAATACTAGCACCCTGCGTATGTCAAGCATAAGAGATTACTGAAATTGTCCAAATAATCAGAAAAAACAGGAAACCCTAAAGCAAAAGAGAAAGAGAGATAGATTAACTGGTTCAGAATTGTGTGATTCTTGGGGTGGAGGGGCGGTTACAGAATCATCATCGGCGAGCAATCCATGTAGTCAGGTCGGAAGCCTTTGAGGTATGAGTGCGGCAACACAGAATATTGACCTGAAACAGGGGCGTTTTGGTTGCTCATTACTGTTACTAGTAATGAAACGGAGGGACGGATTGGTGTTAATAGAAATGAAATCAGGGTTGAAACGAATGGAAAGATTAGGTTGGCGATTTGAGGAAGACAAACAACTCAAAACTGTTCCAAAATTGTACACAGCCATCGAACACAATCATTTTTGCCTTTTCACACTCCTACATCAATTTAAACAAACAAAACTTTTTTTCAACTCAAAAGGAACTTTTAAAACTCATTATTTTACTTTTATATATAAAAATTCATATTATCACTTTTTTTCTCAAATTTTAAATCAACTAATAAAAATGTCAATGTTTTATATTTGAACGTCAACATTAGAATTTAAATACTAATTTTTAATATGTGTGAAATTTTTAATAATAATTATTATTTTTTATAAGTGATGATGATTTCATTCACAAATCTAGTATAAGGGGTATTTGAACTCACAAACAACAAGTTCTCCACTACCTCCTAATATAGTTTAAAGTAGAAGAAAATCAATCCAAAAAGTTACAAAGAATATGACTTTTGCAATCTACAACAAACCATTTTTACGATAAAAATTTAATAGACAATAAACCGTCTTCAAAGTTGAAAATGTCATCTTAATACATCATTGCAGTCCTTGCACGCCAAAGATTCCATGTTGTTGCCAACCATATAAATCCAACAATATCTCGTCCATCTTTTCTCTTTCACTGATGGTTGTGGTGAATGAATGTAGGCAAACTCCATTTGAGTCCTCCATGTTGTCTGTCAGTCCAATTTTGAACAGCAACCCACAATCTTCTAGAAACTTGGCAGTCATAAAACAAAATTTTCTTATCTTCATCTGCTTGAAAACACAAAACACGACTTTTTCTATTTGTACTATCTCTGGCAATAATTCCTCTTTTAACCGACTGATCTCTAGTTGGGAGTTTGTTGAGGATCACTATCCACCAGAATATTAGCATTTTAGATGGAGCTTTGCACTGCCACAAGTTTAACAAATCGGATGCCTCCTCTGCATTAATTGACACTGCATTGTCTCTTCTATCTAATTCTACATAACAAGAACAAATCTGAAAATTCTTCAAATCAACTCCACAAACCACACTTCAAAGCCTTGATATACTAGAATTAATGATGAAAAAGTGAATGGATGAAAGTTTAGCTCAAAGATTAGTAAGTTCTAATGATGAACTTACTAACTCTCAAAGGAAGAAAGAGCTTTGGTGAATTTGGTAATTGGAAAAAATTGAGAGTCAAGAAGGAATTTGACAAGGTGATTTTGGCTATCAAAAGCTTATGAAATGAGAGAAATGAGGCATCTATTTATAGGATTTAGGCTTGGAAAATTTGGTGGATCGGAATTTGGTTTGGAATCAAAATTAGGCGTGGAATTTGAATTTGGAGGGAAATTAATGATCAAGTGGTGATTAGTGAAGGTGTATGGTGGGAATTAATTATGATGAGGTAAGGGAATTAAAATGAAGTGATCTAGAATATTCTCATGTTGCAATATTTGAATTTGGTGCCAAAAATGCTGCAGAATTTGAATTTGCCCAATTTTCACAAATTTCGCACAGGGTAATCGGTTACCCAATATTGGTAACCGATTACCACATACAAAAATGGTGAAAATGACCTTTATGATGTGTTGTTTTGGCTCTGTCTCGATTCTTTTACTTATCAAAGAAGGCATGGAAATAAACACATGAACCTTGGAGTTTGTTGAATAAAAGTCAATCAAATCTTGGGAGACTCTTGATCAGATGATTTGAATTATTTGCGGATCAACTTCGCCTTTTTTCAGATGAAATTTACTCGAGCTGAGGGACTAATATTTGATATCTTTGATCCAAATTCTTCCTGAAAATTTTAGTAAAGGAAAAACAAACATTTTCTTGGATTTTAATCAATGGTTAGTAAACATAAACATAAACAAATATCAAACAAACAAGAAAACAAAGGTGTCCAGTGATCTCTCAAGAACAAACCTGCAGAGAAAGGTAAGAGAACCAAAGCTTGCAGTTTTGTTTGTGGTATGAGATGCAAATGCCATGTGGTATCTTAGGATTAAAAATTAGGGTATTACACCTCTGAGGTACAAAGGACCTGTTTGGTTCACCAGCGGTGGGGTTATATTCGATAGGGTAAATGTTGTTGGCAATGACGAAGGAGATAGTGACTGTGATATGGATGTTTGGATTCGTCCGTGTGTCCCTGGATAGAAGCTATGCAACTGGACTATGGAGGAAATCATCCACGTCACATCAGAAGAGTAATTTCCATTTTTGTTTTTGATTATGACTAGTCCTACGCTCTGCCCAAGGCATAGAGACTTATTTTGTAGAGCCCTGTTTTAACATTCTAACATTACCATAAATAAAAGACGTCCCTTTTGCATTCAAATATTTTGATCCATGTTTTTCCTTCTTGTTTTACATTAAAGCAGAAAAATGACAATGTGTTTTGTGTTTGTTTACATATCATAATCACCATAAAACATCAATCATGCAGGTTGCCCATTTCAGATACCACCAATCCTGATTCGGCTATGGCTCGGTATGATTTTGATAATCCCATTTATCAAGCTGAAGAAGAAGCTGATGAAGATTGTGACCTACCTGAGGAACTGGCCAGGCTTCTAAAGCAAGAGGAAAGGGTTATTCTTCCTCATCATGAGGATATTGAAGTCATCAATCTGGGTACCGAAGATGAGAAAAAAGAAGTTAGAATAGGGGCCGCATTGGAAGGTGATGTCAAGAGAAGACTGGTTGAGATGCTCTGTGAGTATAAAGATGTTTTCGCTTGGTCTTATCAGGATATGCCTGGGTTAGATACTGACATAGTGGTGCACCGTTTACCTCTTCGAGAAGAATGTCCGCCCGTGAAACAGAAGTTGAGAAGGACCAGACCTGATATGGCAATCAAGATTAAAGAGGAAGTCCAAAAGCAGTTGGATGCTGGTTTTCTTGCTGTTATCAATTACCCT